AATATTGTTTGTACGTTAAGTACGAACCAGTTAAGGGCGTTAACAAGTTATAGTAATCTCGGGTATCAAAATACCCTCGGGCTTTGTTGTCGCTACATCATTAGAAGCCTTATAACACACTGGGGGGCGTTACTAAGAATTTTATTTTCTTCTACTGAGTAAAGACACGTTGAAGTGGCCTCAGCTTCGGAAGCGGAAGATTACACAATAAGAATTGGAGGCTTCCCACTTGTCTCAGTCTTACAGAACGTGGAGCTTATCCCTTTTAGGGGTGCGGACTGAAACAAATATAACCTTCTTGTACATTCTTTTACATTTAAAGGAATTACTGGAAGAAAAAGGGGGTCAGTCTTTTCTCTGCATGCCAATATTGGAAATAAATTAATGAAAATATTTTAACTAAAAATTGGCAATTTTCGTGCAATAAATATATTTAGAAGAAAGTTGGCTAAACCTTTATTGAGTTTCACATGCCAAATGTAGTAGTACGGTAGCTCAACATTTGGAGGAAAACTTACTGAGGAAACTATTCTCAATCATGACCCCTACATGTGCTATTACGTTCATATTACAAAGTTTGCCATTAGAAGAAGTTCGCGACCCAGCGCCGTGCGAGCTGCTCTGAATGCGGGGGCGGGCGCGCGGAGCTGTAGCGGCTTGGCGCCGAGCGGCGCTCCTTCCGCGTCAGGTGCCAACTTGGAATCGCCTCGCCCTCTCGTGAGCCTCCGCGTCTGGTTATCGGTGTAGCGCCGCGCAGCGCAAGCTGCCCGCCCCAGGCCCGGGGCCAAACGCCGCGCCGGGCGCTCCCAAGTTGGCGGCAGTCGGGCAATTACGCGGCGCGCGCCAGGTACGAGGAGGAGGAGGAGGAGAGGGGGCCTGTTGACTCGGCCGCTGTGGGGGGTGGGGGTGTGGAGGGCGTCTGCTGCAGACGGCGTGGGCTGGACGGGCAGGCGGCCGCTCGTCTCTTGCGCCGTTGACGGCGCTCTCCGCCGCTTGACGTGGAGAGCAGGCAGCGCTCGCTGCCTGGCCTGGCCTTAGACACTTTTCAATCAACATTTTTTTTTAAATTTTTATTGTACGTCTTTTCTCTGCTTGGCAATTCAGATTTTTTCTTCTCCTCCTGCTCGCATACTCGTATGGCCACGATGTACGATTCTGAAGATAGTTCAAACTTTCACCTTTAAATCCTGCAGAAATGCAATTAAAACTTCATGTTGATTTCCATTACATCCTAAAAGATGTCACAATGTGAAATTCAAAATTTGGAGGGAAAAAGTATTAAAAAAATATTTAATGATGTAATGAAAATTGTAGAAAAAATATTCAGGCAGATAAGGGCCAATAGCGAGCGGTCTCTTTATCAGAGCCTTTCTGACACATGACACCATCTGTGTAGTAAGATGTGAGGCACAGGGAATGAGAAATCACTTAGCCTATGCAGTACGAGAACAGGTGGAACCACTTCTACGAATCTATTTCATTGTTCATGAATTTTCCTCCTGTTTGGTGATATCTATATAAACCACAGACACCTCTCACATGGCCGGACGCTGCGCAGTTTTCTTTCAATTGCTGCGTATTACAAATTAGAATTACAGATAATTTTCTACATGAAAGAAGAGTTAGTTTCCGACGATGCTATGGCAACCTGCTCTGCCGTGCCCATTGATGCCCTTTCCAGCAGCGCCGCTTCCGCCCCTGAGGGCTGCCCGTGGGGAAGGGCACATGCGATGAGGGCGCGCGTGGCACTTAGGTAATCAGGTGGCACTGCGAGAAGCCACGGGAAGGTCTAAAATCCTTTCAGCCAGGAGATGACCCTACAGCGATTGCTAATCCAGCGGCCACGCCGCGATTCAAATCCTCAAGAATTTGGGCTCATTTTTAAATTCTCTAATGCCGCAACGTTTGATCGTGCATTGTGGCAGATCATAAATTACCATGGACCAGAACAATGTATCCCAAATTGCAGTTCCCAAACTGCAACGTTTTGCCACCTCTTCATCTTTGCGAGTGGATTCGTATGGAATGTGGTAAACGAAAGGCTGTTCGTAGTTTTTATCGTTCGCAGCTTTGCTTCCCTTTACCTCTCATTTTACTATATTAGTATTACATTCAGCAGCACCACTTGTTTAATTTGCTGATACGGATACGTGCATCAGAAAATAAACTTTTGGAGAACATGTCTTATGTGCGGAGTAGATATTGATGAACAGGTACATGACTTTGGTAAACAGCTTTTTGTTGATACTTTTTGGAATATTTCTGGTAAATATTCAATACTTCTCTACATTTACGTAATAATTCAAATGTTACTCATACCACAGTTGTAATGGTCATTAATATTTTCACGTCAGATAATTATGATCCACGCAGACTTGTGCTGAAATAATTATGGCAATATACCTACGTAGTATAAATTCAGTTCTTTTAATACTTTTCGTAACTGGCGTAACTTTGTAACATAAATGGCAAGCGGGGTGCTAGAATCAGGTAAGAAGTGATTAATGGAATCGGTGACTGTAATCACTGATGGTGGATCGTGTTGATTTGAAGAATGGATGGTCGACTCTGTTCGTACACATGACAGAGTAGTCATTTGGTACACCTGTTCGGAAGCATTGCGTCATTATACCTGCAACATAAAGAGTGGTTGATACATCACACGACATCCCATTGCTACCCTGGCAATGGTGGTAGGAAATACCAGAAACATGTCGCATTGAAAGTTGCGCATGTAATTACATTCGCTTCAATTGTGTGGGGCGGTGCTCCATCTGATCCGATCGTCACGCAATGGCCCTTATGTGTCCGCGCGTGGCGTAGGCGTGCCGGGCGGGGTGCAGCTACGCGAGAGCGGAGCTGCGCACTTCGCGGCGCGGCGAGGTGGGCGGGGCGCGGTGTGGCGGGGCGGCGTCGTAATTGCTCTCTCTCGAGGGGCCTTCTCCACCCCCTTCG